AAATTCAAAAATCAAGAATAATTTTCTAAGTTTACTACAAAATATATGCTTCTAATAAAACACCCAATAATATGACAGGCCTAAACAAGTAAAATCCACTCCTCCAACCTCACCCATTCAGTTGACTGCTCTTCTCCAGAATTACTGGCTCTCCCTCCAAAAGTCTCTTGGGAGGCCTTCCCCATGTCTTATGAATTGACATAGGAGTCTCTTCTTTATTTTAAACACAACTTGCAGCGTATTATGAAACTTTCTATTGGATTTAAAATGAAATATAGAGGGGATAGGGAAAAAACAATTAAAATATTATGTACATATACTAATATCCCATGATGAATGTATTTATGCACAATGAAATTTTTTTGGGGGGGTTTTGTTTTTTGTCTTTTTCGTTTTTATCAGTACCAGGGAGCGAACTCACGACTGCCTGCTTGCAAGGCAGGCACTTATGCCACTGAGCTAAATCTCCAGCCCCACAATGAAATGTTTAAATTACATCAAAAGTAAAACAAATGAAATATTCTAGTCACTTTTCCTTGTTACATAAATCTTTCACTTTTCATGGTTATATGGTACTCCACTGAGTAGTTCCTGAACCTTTCTGACAGAAACTTCGGTTGATTCCAGTTTTTCAGTATTGCAAACCATACTGCACTGCTATAAAAAACATCTTTATGGACTACAATCAGTATTATCTGTTGATAAATTCTATAAAATGACACAAGAAGATTCTGTTAAGTGTGAGGGCAAGAAGCATTCATTTCTCCTACCTCCCTAATCAATTCTGGTTATATTACTATCTAGCTCTTTTTAGTCTTTAACAATGTAGTAGATGAAAATGGAATTTCATTTATACTTAATGTAAGAGCGAAAAAGAGCATGTTGATTAATCATTTCTTAGTCTCTGAAATGTGTTGTCTGCTTTCCTGCTGTTATTCATGTTTTTTGACCAATTAATAGTTTTCTGCCCCAGTTTGATCAAATACAATAATGTATCTGTCGCAGTTAGTTGCTTATCTTGGTTTATTGTGGTGTTTTCAGCCCTACAGAAATTTTAAACTTTTAATTCAAGTAAACTTATCTTTCCCTTTATAATCTGAGTTTTAGCTTATTTAAGGGAGAAAGCTTTTTTGCAAGCAAAAATTTGGGGGGAAACCATCTCGATAGTAACTTCTTAATCATTACTTAAATAAGGCTAATAATATTTACATAAAAGCACCTATGGAGGCAAACCCCTTTCAATATTGTTTAACGAAAATCAATCTACTAGTTTTTATAGCTCTTCTATAATCAACCACCAATTAGATACTGCTTACAACTAGTATACCAAAGGTGTTATTACTTTTAAACTTCTTAAAATCTAAGGGCTGCAAAATAACTACCACACAGACTTAATTCCTGACAAGCCCAAAGCTCTTGGCCCTGAATCCTTAATTTTTAGCAGCACAAATGTAAAATAAAATTCACAATTCGAATAAGCCCTACCGTAGCTATAATTCAGTCCTCTCTACAAAACTCAATGGCTACTTCCTGCAAAAACAAACTTAATTGTGCAAAAGCAGAAAACTGCTCATAGTGATAACACAGTATTCGTCTTTTCCGGTGCAGACTGTGAAACAAAATACATCCCCAAAAAACCGACCTCAAATCACAATTATAAAGTAAGCCGCTACGTGAATTAGTATTCCAATCCAAACTACCGCTTCAAGGGAATTAGGTCCCGAGCTCAGCCTTCCCATTCCCAGCCCGGGGGGAGGGGCAGCTCCTGAGTGCTCTCTCCTTCAGTGCCAGCTGCCAGGCGTTTAACAGCCTCCCGTCTCTATGCTGACTAGCACAACCACTGCAACTTGGAAGTTAAGGAAATTGGTAACCCAGAGGGGAATAAAAGAGTATTTTCCACGATTTGTACAGCACTTGTTTAGCACGTATGTGTTTCCCAAGTGGCGGTTAACCCTTGAAGCTGCACTAGGTCAACTCTTCAAACTCTTCACACCACTTCACACCCACCACTGCCAATTCCATTCAGTGGCTTCCCTTCCTTTGGAAACTATTCAGATAGTTACTATTTTCTTTTTACAACTACTCACCCAGGCCTCTTCCACTGATGAAAGCAGGCAAAGCCCACGCTGTGTGTCTGTCTCCTAGAGAAGATTGCATCTTTTATTTATCGCCCGTTGGCTTTATTTTCACAGTGAATTCCTGGCTTAAATGCAATCAGCCAAGAAACCCTCCCTATGTGCTCTCCTGTCATTCCTCATTGCTTGCAAGCAGAGTCAAGCACAGAGGGGGAAAAAAACACCTCAACACTGCCAACCAAGCCAAAAAAAATTCACACTCCAGTTTATTACACTGAGAAACCATAGATGCCCTTCAATCCTCAAGGAAACTAGCAAAGAAACAAAAAAAAAATGGCTACTTGAAAAAATGCTAATTAGATGTTAAAAGAGAAAAGGAAAAGAAGGATGGATAACCTCAAAGCACCCCTCCCCCCAAAAAAGGGTGCTGCGCACAGAAAAGGCAATGCTGGGGGCTACCTTTGAAAACACATGACCACACACAAAACCACTGCAGATTGTGTTAGAATTCAAGTAACCAAACAGGATTGAAACAAATTTTAATTCTTCTAAGGCACTTTCCATACCTCCAACCAATCCCAAATAAGACGATAAAGGGAAATGACCACAGTTAAAAATCAAAAGAGAGAAGACTCCCCATCTATCCCCATTCATCTGGTACAGCGTTGAGCATGCAAGTCCAAGGAGACTCATATGGGAGGGGGGTTAGAAAATACACCACTGGCACTCAGAAGAAAAATACAGGGAGTGTGGAGTCTCACTACGGTATTGTTCATTTCAGTTTAGTTCAAACATTCCCACCGCTAAGACTGGAAAAGGTATCTTGGCAGAAAAAAAAAAAAGGAAAACATTTTGGGGGTGGAGGGGCAGGGGCGCTTTTAAACTCAGCATTTTGGGATATCTCTCATGGTCTGTCAGAGAAAGGAGGGTGTGCAGCTTTAAATCACAAGTCCCTCTCTCTCGCCTTTGTCAAATATCTCCTACTTCACAAGCCTTGAAAAGAAATGAGACTCTTTTGTTTGCTTTTCCCTTTTCGCGGAGGGTAAGAGAAAATGGAAATGGGCACAAATAAACCTGGAAAAAAGAACAAAGTGCGGGGTCGCGCCGGGCAGCCGCTCGAGGGACGCTAGAGCGCCCCGCCAGCCTCCGCCCCCGCGCCCGCAGCCCAGCAACCATCCCGGGTGCCCCGCGGCTTGCCCGGAGGACAGCGCCCCGACCCTGCTCGCATGAGGTCGCTCCTTCCACCTCCACCCTCCACGGAGGGGCCGGCCGGCCCACCGCCGCCGCCGCCGCCGCTTCACGCAGTGCCCGAGAAGCCAGGAGTACAAGGAGCGCGCACCCCTGCGAAGAGCGCTCGGGAGAGCTCGCCGGGGCCCGACTGCGCTGCGACCCCGGAGTGCCTCGGCCGCTCCGGCCGTCGGGGCCAGGGCGGAGCGGCGGCCCAGCGACGTTCCGTGCATTCCCCTCCCACAACTCGCGGGGGGAGAGGAAGAAAGAGGAGCGGCAAAAGCCCAGGAGAAGGGGCGAGCGCCGAGCGGAGCGGCCCGGCCCGGCTTTGCCCGGCCGGCATTGTCTGCGCGACTCGCGCCCCCTCCCCCGCCCCGCACGGCCCCGCCACACACCCTCGCCGCGCCGGCGGCCCCCCGCGCCTTTGTCCGCGTCGCCCCCGAACTAGGCGAGAAGCCCTCTAGGATGCGCGCCTGAGGAGATGGACACAGCGGCGCGGGCCGGGGGCGCCTAACCCGCGGAGGGGCGAGTCCTGCTGATTCATTTCCCACTTGCGCCGCCGGGAGACGGGGGCGGGGACCGGCTGGGGGACCTTCCGAGCCGCGGAGGGCGCCGGGGAGGGGAGCCCGCGGGGGAGGACGGACGGACCGACGGCCTGCGGCTGCCCCGTGACTCACCGACTTGCAGGACGTTGTCTACGCAGCCGCTCTCCAGCAGCGCGATGCCCCGGCGGAAGGGCAACCGCGTCTCGTCGCCGCCGTCCGCCGCCCCAGAGGCCCCCACCGACGGGGCTCCGGTCCCCGCGGCGGCAGCGGAGGCGGCGGCGGCGGTCGAAGTGGCGGCCGGCGAGGACGAAGAGCCGCCGCCGCCTGCGCCACCCGCCCCGCCGCCCGCGCCACCGGGGCCGCTGCTGTCGTCGCCGGGGCCGCCCGCGGTGCCGCCGCCGGTGTTGAAGGACGAGTACATGCAGATCTCCCGCTCGCTGCGGGGAAACGACCAGTAGACGATGCGGCGCTGCACAGGCTCCGGGATGCGCTCGAAGCGCTCCTCCACGCGTTGGAAGGGCCACTTCTCCGCCACTCTGCGAGCCGCGATGTCCAGCAGCGACTCCGGGCTCTGAGTCTTCCCCGGCGGCAGCAGCCCCAGCGCCGCGCCGCCCCCGCTTGCCGTCGCCGCAGCCGCGCCGCCCGCTCGCGGGCCCGGCCGACAGGAAGAGCTGTAGCCACCGCCCGCCCCGCCGCCGCCACCGCTGCTGCCCCCACCGCCGCCGCCGCCGCCCGGCCGGCAGCAGAGCCGTTTCGCGGGAGGAGGCTGCTGTCCGCGCTCCGCCATGACCGCGCCGCTTCTAACCCGACAGCGGAAGTGCCTGGACCCTATAAACGGCACAAGGAAGCGCGACACGCACACGCCGTGGCGACGCCACGCTGCCATCTAGGGCCCGCCGCTCCTTGTAAGGGCACGAGGGGTGTGGCCGCCAACGTGACGTCAAGGGCGAGGCGGGGCTCCGATAGGGAGAACCTAGGGAGGAGGCGTGGCCTATGCAAATCACTGGACTGAAACATAAATAGAGCATTTGGCGGACACGGGGGCGGCGGGGGTGGAGGGGTTGGTGCCGGGTGGGTTGTGAGAATGTCAGGCCGCTGTGACGCGGAGGGCGGGGCTCGGGGTTCCCGCGGGAGGAGGCGGGCCGCCGGGTCCAGTCCAAGGTGGGTAGGTCCTTGCACCCCCAGCCTGTTCAGCTTATTCCTCCAGTTCCCTGCCTCCCTTTGATGTCGGACAAGTGAGGACGCGCCTCGTGGGTCGCAGCGGGGAGGGAAGAGGAGCGGGGTGTACTGAGAGGAGGGTTCCGGGCTAGGTGGGGGGCGGGGCCCGCAACCCGATGCCCCACCCCCGTCAGCCTGCCCGCGGGGGAAAAAGCCTCTAGGCGGAGGAGGCGCGTTCAAAACAAAGAAATGCTGCTCCGAGCCCCGGGGACTCGAGTGGAGAGGAAAGCGGAGGAGGCGCGGCCGCGGCCCCTGCTTCCCTTCCAGTCGGACCAGAGGAACTCCCCCCACCCCGGCCGCGACTGCGGCGCTGGGGGCGGGGAGGAGGCTGTGCTCGGTGGCTGTTTTCCACTTCACTTTTACAGACCCGGGTGGGGAGGAAGAGCGCCTGCCTCCCTGACCTGCCAACCTGCAGCGCACCGAGCCACGAGCCCCGCGTCTGCTCTGGGAGCCGTGCCAAGCCGAGCTAGCTAGGTACTCCGTGCTCGGATCTGCCTTGCCGCTGCACCGCGCAGTCCCGAGCCGACCGCGGCCGCCCCGCCTTGCACTCTCTCAGCCCCGCCGGCCAGGAAGTCTCGGGGAGCCGGCACCGCGCTCCAGACCTCAGGTCCTGCAGCTCCGGGTGGAGCACACACCCGGGCCATGGACTTAGCGAGCGCACCTTTGTGAGTACACACGCCGCGGGGGCAGGCGCACGGCCCCGCCGCCTGCAGACTGGAGCCCGGTGCGCGCTGGGGCCGCGACCCGGCTACGACCTCGCTCCCGCGCTCCCTGCCGCCTGGCGGCGTCGGGACGGGTCGTCCTCCCCTGACGAGGCCACGGGAGCCGGGCAGTAAGAGAGGAGTGCAGAGCGCCGGCGTGGGTCTGCAGCGGGGACTGCACTCCTCCGAGGTCAGGCAGATCCTGTCCAAGCCGCAGATTTAATTGCCATGTTAGACACCCTGCCTCCTTGCCCCACCTCCTGTTTTTACTGTAAACAGTGTTAGAGATACTGTCCGGTTGTTGAAGATAAACCGTATCTCCCTTGACACCTTCGCGTCTTCTCAGGTTATTGGCTGTTACCCACAGCCGGCCTCGTTGCCTGAATAGAGCACTACTGGCGTTTTAAATAAAATCTCGAATGCAGGGCCAAAGGCGGCGGAGACCTTAGCTCTTCCTCGGCCCTGCCCGAGCTCCTGGCTGCAGGTCCCTGGAGATGGGACGCTGGCCGACTTTCCTTTGCTGCTTGTTAGGAAAATTTTGGTGACATTATGTTTTTGTATATCGGTCTGATATTTTTCTGGGCACCTCCTCAACGCCTAGGAAAAAGCCTTGGCAGAGGACTGGGAAGATCTTCAGAAGCAAATGGATGGCGAAGTCTCTTTCCTCCAGTTGTTTCATTTGTAGATCTTGTTAAAAATAAAACTAATTTTAAAACATGAATGACCGAGTCGAAAAGACCGTTTGAGCTCTATGTATTCTGCCCAGAAAAACGCATCGTGGTAGAATTTAAGCTTGGATAATTACCAGGCATTTTCACACGTACACAGCAGGGTTTAAAGATGACAAAACCAGTGCCCCTAGAGAGGGTAAATGACTCATTCAGGGCTGTATAGGATATTAGTGGAAGAGCATTAGTTAATTCACACTAAACAGGAAAATAGACACCTTAAGAGGTGCCTTACCTTTATTTCCATATTACAATGAACCAAAGATTTAAGGCAGCGCCCTTCTCTGGAAGGTGTCTAGTTTAGTTCTAATTAAGGAACAAATCATGGTCTCCAGCTGCTGTATCTGATCCAGTTTATCCTGCAGTTTCTGACACTGGTCTCGCCCTCTTGAACTGACCCTTGCACACACACACACACACACACACACACACACACACACCTTTCCCTGACTTGCTGCTTTCCCACGACTGTATTGAACTTGTCTTCTTGTACCCATTTTTAGTTTCTCTTCCTTCAAATTGGTTAACCTACACCCTACAACCTATTGTGGTCCTCTGTATTTTTGGTGACCCACCCCTGGAGAATTTTCACCACTCACCCCAGACCTTTTTCCCAAAGCATTGTCTGTCAACAACTCATCTCTTGCGTTTGTGTGACCTTCCTGCAGAGTACAGATTCTCTTCTTTCTCTTGAGTTTTTATGGTTCTGTCACCTGTTCCCAGGTCCCCAAGCTATATTTCTCTTTAACTTTGGCTCTTGCCTGTGACTCTCACGTTTTTACTTGCTGTGTTGCCTCTCCTGGCCCTTTTTGCTGCTCACAGTCAATTATTCCTCCTCTTCACTCTGCAAGAACCGCCTCACTGGTGTGATTGTATAGCCTTTCCTCCTCCAAATCCTCCTCCACCCAGCTGCTGCGCTGACTAAAGTACATTTCTGCTGGTGTCACCCTCCTGCTCTGAAGGCTCCCTGCTGCCTACTGAAAAAGGCCAAACTCAGATCTGATGTCAACCAAACCCAACTTTCCAGTCTCTGACTAAAACTCAAAAGCATATTTTCCAGTTTTCCCAACAGGAATTTTATCTTATCCCAACAGAACTTCTCTACTCCCCACTTTTGCTCAAGACAAGATGTTACTGCAGTCTGCATTCACATTCTCTCTGTGTGCATCTCTCTTTCTCTCTGAATCAATCTCTCTGCCTCCCTCCCTCCTCTCTGCTTCAACTTGTCAAATTCCTACCCCTTGCTTCAAAGATTTGTTCAAATACTACTTCCTCTGGAAAAATCCACCCAGTGTGATGTCTCTTCTGGACCTCCCTAACCCTTTGGATCTTTTTTGTGATATTTGTACCAGGCTGCACAACATCACAGTCATTTACTCTTGCCTGAGCCTTCTCACTGAGCCTTCTCACTTCCCTGGCAAGGAATTCTCAAAGAGTTGGGAAGATTCCTCCTTCATCTCTGTAGTTCAAGTGCCCAGCACTGCACTGCAGGCTTCTGTGACCCTAGAAATTAGCTACACCCTTGAGCCAAGTGATGCTGTGTCATCATTGGCTGTTGCTTGTGCCACCTCTCATTTTTGAGGATTTATAGTGTTTTCTGTACTGTTCATGTAAGGCATTACTAAATTTATAATTGCCCTTTCCAGCAGGCCTCTACCCCAGGGACTAAATCAGGGGTAGAATTGTCTCAGTGTTTACCATTGGGCAGTGGTAAGAAATCAAAGTACAGAAAGTCTCCAGCTTTCAGATACAGTGACTCATCACATCACATCATACAACATTAGCCAGTGTGGTCAGGGGCTAGGCTCACAGGCAGACTTCATAAATACTACTCCTGGTAGCCAAACTGATGTACTTAAGGAAAGAAGAAAGAGCTTCCTGCACTGGTCCAATCCACCTGGCTCCTGGCAGCTGTATGCGTAAATAGAGGGATGGAATGGCAAAGGGATTTATTGAAAAAGAGCAATAAAGTCGACTCCTAGCCAGGAATCTAGCGTGACTCCTCCATTCTCTTCTAATTTAAAAGTGAAAATTTGAATTAAATGTAACAGGCTTATCAAATTCCTGGAGCAGTAGTTTTTGGAAACCCCTATAAGAGCACCAGAGTACAAGGCACACAACTTCAGAGCTGATAAACAGAAATTAACGTGGCAGGCTCCCCACAAGTCTTCTTTACATTAAAGTTTGAAAACTGCCCTTTTGTGGCAAGAACACACAGTCCAGGTGCTTGGGAGGAAGAATGCAGAAAGAGAAAATGACTGCCTCACCACTATTGTTACTCATTCCAGTTAATTAACACAATAATTTGTCTTTAGTAGGAAGATTCCAGGACATGGAAATTGGATTAGATCTAAGAAATGTAAATTCCTCTGAAGATGGACACAGTGGTATGTGCATTTCTATGTTTTTTTTCATACAGGGATATATTTTTATAGCTAAAGCCAATTATGTTCTGTAGAATATAATTCAATTGGGCCGAGGATTTAGCTCAGGGGCATAAGCACCTGCCTTGTAAGCACAAGGGCATGAGTTGGATCCCTGGTACCAAAACAAAAAACAAAAACAAAAAAGAATATAATTCCATTGTTTAGAGGGGAATAAAAGTCTAAAATAGCTTATTTAACCTTAGGCATTATTCTCCCAGTGGAAGGACAAAGAATTTAACACTGTGACTAAAATGAACAAAGAATGAGAGAGTAGCAGTAACAATCAGTGAAAAATGTTCGATAATAAGGGAAAGTGCCAAAAGAGTCTATCTGACCACTCATTTCCTACAAATACACTCTTAGGCAAAAAGAAGTGGGCAGGGAATGATCAATCCAGAATTGATCAGTTTAAAACAGTTGCTCCATCTTTGAAGAAGGAAAAAAATTGGTTCATTTTAACTTCATTAAATCCTGGAGAATCAAGCCACTACTATCTTACTATTGATGTTTTTAGAGAGCATACATATAGTTCTTTACAAACAGTAATTTATTTGAAGCCACAGCCACCCTTATACAAAAAATGAACGAAGACACTGAGGCTCAAAGTTATATGGCTCCTAATCAAGCAGATACTGAAATTCAGTCTGTCTAGCTACAAAGCTGGAACTTTTTCCATTATCCATTATTTCCCAAACTTGCCAGATTGTAAGAATCACCTGGAACTCTTGTTAAAAATATAGATTTTTCTTTACCTTTTCTATGAAGACTTTGACTTGTAGGGCTGGGGTGAGGCTTGAAATCTTTTTAACTCATTATTTGGATAATTCTTCAAAATAAGCACAGTAGGGAACAAAGTATTTCCCACCACATTGTTACTCACTAACCCACACTGTTCCATTCGTTATGATGTACTCTTTGAAATTTTCTCGAATTCTCAGAAAGTGTATTCACCCCACTGATCAACAATCTTTTCTACCCTATTCCTCAGAAAAATGTGTTCTGTTAAGATGAGAGCCTTTAAATTTATCAAGAATTTTGAAAAATAAATGATTACATATAAACATGTATAATAACTCTGGTTGCCTCATACTTTGTAATTTGGACAATATTTTCACAACCTCTAGAAGTAAAAGGTAAAAACTATATAAAATCTCTACAATTTCAGTATTGTGAAAATGGGAAAAAAGGTCTTATGAAATGAAAATGTCTCAGAACTGGAATGTTTACCAGGCCTCAAAACAAGCTTACAACCTAGTGGAAGCCAAAACATTTAATTATAGCTTTTAGAGTTTCTCTTTCATTTTGCAAGGTATATTATTAAGATTATCACAAAATAAAAGAATTATTTAATTGCATAATGTAAAGATATATATATATTTCAGGGTTTACTTGTATTAACTGGGTAATCCCGCTTTTAAACATTGAAAAAGTGATGCTATAGAAGAATTATAATTTAGAAAATGAATGATTTCCTCAGAATTACATCAACTTACCGTTTCATTCTTCATCTCTATTATGTGATACAGTACAAGAAAAATACATTTAAAATATTAAATGCTACAGTATGAACACATTCACTAGTGGCCAAAAGAAGAAGGATATATTTACAGAAAATAATGTGGTTCCAGAAATCATTTTTGCGGGGCTGGGGATTTAGCTCAGCGGCATAAGCGCCTTCCTTGCAAGTGTGCGGTCATAAGTTCGATCCCTGGTACCAAAAAAGACCAAAAAAAAAAAAAAAATCATTTTTGCAAGCGTATAGCATGAACATTTTCCAGAGTGATCCAACAGTGTTCTGTTCATTCACATTCCTACCTGGAAGAACTAAAGTAGAATTTAGACTACCAAGTAAATTTAGGGGGCACCTTAGGTGTAGATAAAGCTTATTTGCATGAAAGAGATAAATGTCAAAACTAAAGTTGAAAATGTGAAGATCAAACTTTAAAATGGATTTATTAAGGGTATGTTATCACCTACAATATTTATAAATATTTAAGAACTCACTTCCTGTCAAGAATAGAATTATGACAATTCAGATGTGGAAAGTGTCACTTTCAGTGACTTTGTTCAAACCTAGAATTAGATAACTTGTGAAAATGAAGAAGTTGCAGCAAACATTGGCACATTGGACATTTTTTTCAACATGAAATCTAAATTAACATCTCCACGGAAGCATACTACAGGAAAACCAGAGCTCTGCAGGAGCTTTGTGAGAACATCCTAAATACACAGCTTACCCAAGAGGTGATTTACTTTTTCAGCACCAGAACTCCTGCGAAGTTTAACCTTGCAGACTAGATATCTTTCTTTCCTTTTTCTTTTCCTAAGCATATTACAAGGGCTTATTATAAGCACAAAGAGATTCTCTAAGATGTGCTGTGGTATTTAAGGTTGTCTGTCTGTATCTAAAGGCTCAGATTGATTCATTGTTATTTTTGTTTGTTTGCTTTTGGACTTGTTTTCTGTTTTGTGCTGGGGGTTGAACCTTAGGGCCTGGCCCACACCCACACCCACACCAACACTCTACCTCTGAGCTATATCCCCAGCCTTTTGCTGCTTCTGTTCTA